GGTGCTGCACGAGCTGGGCGTTCCCGGAGAAGCTCTTCCCGCACTCGGAACACCTGTAGGGCTTCTCCCCGGTGTGGGTCACCTGGTGGCGGAGCAGCTTGGAGCTCACGCTGAAGGTCTTCCCGCAGTCGGAGCACTCGTAGGGCCTCTCCCCCGTGTGGGTTCTCTGGTGCTGGATGAGGTGAGAGCGTTGCCGGAAGCTGCCCCCGCACTCGGCACAGCCGAAGGGTTTCTCTCCAGTGTGGATCCTCCGGTGCTGGATGAGGTTGGAGCTCACCCGGAAGCCCTTCCCGCAGTCCCCACACACCATCAGTCTCCCCACAGATGGATTTCTCTGCTGGGTAAGGTCTGTCGGCCTCCTGAGACTCTTCCCACGCAGCATCACTCGGCTTTGCCTCTTCCCCAGAGGTCTCTGAACTCCTTCTGACCTGTGTGGGACGACTGGGTCCTGTGCTGGATTCTGGGAATTGTTCTCCTTGGAGAGTCCTGAGAGTAAAGCCTTGGGCTCTGCTGGCCCAGGGATGCCTTGGTGGGCATTCTCCTCTTTCTTGCTCACAATCCCATCTTCAGCTGCAAAAAAAGGAGAATCCAGAGAGAAGTCACAGGCAGGACACAAAACATTAGACAGGGGAAATCGAAAGGGGCCAAATTCCAAGAACTCACCAGATTAAGTATAAAAAGTTTTGATATTTCCCTCCAAACTCTACAGTGGATTTCTCAAGAGTGCTCACAGGAAGAAACCCTGGAAATAGATGGCCCTGGGTGCTCTGCTAGAACCTGAATCCACTGAAAATACTGGCTTATTAGAGGTGAAAGTTTAGTGCTTGAATGGGAAAGATGGCTGCTCTTCCAGGACATCTGAAAACATTATTAAAAGCTGAACTGGGAGTCATGGAAGGGCCACAAAGAACTGCCCTGCTCAGCAGAACAGATGCAGCATCTGTGCTGCTGGTGTTGCAGAGAGAGAAAAGATGCCCAAAGGAGACACTGGCCCTAAGGGATGAGACATGGAGACCACCTGGAGCCTGGCTGATGCCAGTCTTAGAGCAGAAGAAAGGCAATTTTGTGCTCCATGGGTGCAAAGCAAACCTGGGGGGGGGGTGGTTGGTGAATTGAAGATCCTCTGTGGGCAACTCCAGATAATTCACTGAGGAAATCCAATATAAACACAGAAGATGAAGGCAGTGCAAGTCCATGGAAGTAATGCCAACTGAACAGTACAACCAGCTCCTGGGACACAGGCAATGAACAAACCCCTGCCCTCTGATTCCCACCAAGTCTTGCAGAAACACAAGTGGGATGAACCTATGCTGCACAGACTCAGGGTCAGCTGAAAGCCTTTCCAGACAAGGGGCTGCACAAATTCCTCAGGTATCTACACAGAGCACTGCCTCCTTCCAGCCTGCTGCTCACCTATCCTCTAGGATAGAGGATGCTCCTCAACCCTCTAACATGGATTGAGGAGCATCCCAGCAGGTCCAGAAGCACAGATCCCAGCAGTGCTCTGGCTTCTGCTGTCAGTGGGGCCGTGGAGCTCTCTGCAGACTCACTGAGGGCTCCTGTGCTAAACTGGCAAGACAGGATGTGTGGCACAGCCCCATCTGCTGCCAGGGAAGGGCCAGTGGATGTCAGAGGGATGTACATGGGATGTAGAAATGGCAGCATGCATCTCTGAGGAGAGGCATCACATCCAGAGTTAGGACAGGTCAGTCAAGGGAAGAGATTCCAGATCATCGTGTACAGACCTGCTGTTGACTACACAAAGACCCAAAACATGGCACAGGCTGAGGACTGAAGCTGCAAACACACAGAGCCCCAGATCTGCCCATGGAAAAACTCAATGGCTCCTCCTGGATCTCTGAAAACCCCTGTGGAATGAACTGGTAACATACCAGTCATGTGGGGCTGATGGACAGACCACAGGCACTGCTGGTGCTCTGGCAGAGCTGGGATGAGGAAGTGCTTGCCTTGAAACAGGAGAGTCACTGCTGAACCAAGAAAGGAAGGAGAGTCCAGAATTACAACCCAGATGATACAAGTACATATTTGATCTTCCTCTTTCTAGTCACTGTAAGAAAATCATAACAATATGATTTCACTTTGAGCTCCTGAGATGCCTTTTGTGGTGTGACATTGATCAGCTACTTTTCCCTCACATAGTTTCCCTTAAAATCATTCCTTCAGAGGAACAGAAACTGGAACTTTGCTATCCACTTCCATCTGTCTGCAGCCAATCCATCCAGGCCTGTAGGAGAAGAGGGATATCCAAAGGCAGGATAAGGACATTTCTGTCAGTCCAGCATGAAACTCCTGACCTGCATGTCTGAGCAGACAGTGGAGCTTGGGAAGTTGTTCTGTTGCTGTTGTCTGTAAAGGGTTTGATCAAAATCATGAACACAGGACCTCACCAGAGGAATTCATACTGGAAGCATTAGGGCTGAACTGGCAAAAATGAATAAGCAAGAGAAAAAGGAAGAGTGTGGCTCCTTGTCAGCCCAGACCAATTTGGGTTGTGCTCAGGCCTCTGATATGGCCAAGATTGCCAGGGCTAAGCTACAAGAAAAGGTCCAGGTAAGCAGAGTGAGTGTAAACATTGAGAGAGAACCTAAATATCACCTTAAATGTACCATTGGATCTCTCTTTCTCAGGAGAAGCCCCCTGGAGCTCTTCAGAAATGTCACCAATTTTAGCAAAAGAGATCTAGAGTGCAAAGGTGTTCCCAAAGCTTCCTTCACCAAACCAGTAAGGAAGCTAAGCTGCCATGGGATGGATGACCCTCAGGAGGTGGGAATGAAGGGAAAAGAAGGTGGATGATGATTCTGTTATTCAGGGGTAAGACACAAAGGCTGACTATAAACTGTGTCAGAGCCTTATGACCAGCCAGGTGACAGGGGACATTCACTGCAGGTAAACACAGAGAACTGCAGAGGTAAACAGCATCTATACCTTGCACTTTTATCAGAATGGGCCCAGGATGTTCTTGGTGTTATTCAGGAATAGCACCATGGAGTTAGAGAAGATGGATGAAAACTGCAGCTCCCAGGCACACAAAACAGCTCATCAAATGCTAATGATTGTTTGGGAAAAACAATCAAACCCCACATCCTGAGTGTGTGCAAGGAGGGGATGGATCCCCCCTTTCAGAGAAGTTCCAACAGAGCTGAGGCAGATACAGAGGATGACATGAAGGACCTATACTGCTGTACAGATTCTGTACAGATGGCTCAGCTGCCCATTCTGTTGTGAAAAGGCACAGCTGACAGGGCTATTGCAGAGGACTATAAAACCACAAGTGGCCCACGGGTGGGGATCTCTGACATCAAGTGAGCTCCTAGAGGGCAGTGTCAAAGCAAACCAAAGGAGGCAGCGACTCACAAAGCAGCTGAATATGCTGTGGAACTGCTGGCTGAGAGCTGTCACTGATGCTAAACCTTACACAGCTTCAGATAGCAAGAAATTACAGACAGGGCTGTGAGACAGGGACACATGGTGTGTCTAGTTCAGGACTTTCTGAAACCACAGAGTGCCAGGGCCTGTGAAAGCATCCATGGACACAGCACTGCCTGTCTGCCTTCTCTGGGATCCAGCCCCAGCCTCTGCCAGGAACAGCAGCAGCGCTGGGAGGACTGTGTTCCATCCCGGTCCCACCAGTCCTGCACGTTCTGATGTGGTTTGGGGATCCTGGAGAAGTTTTTCTCACTGCCAGGTTCACAGATGACTTGGCAGTGCTGGGTTAATGGTGGGACTCGATGACCTTAGCCAGCTTTTCCCAACTTTAATGATTCTATGACTGTACCATCCCCTCACCTGCACAGGTGTCGCTCACAACCATCTCGGTCTTCACTTGGAAGGTGCAGAGGTGGGAGAACCACAGTTCCTCCTTACGATCCATGTGGGAGATCATCTCCAGCTCCACTCTGGGGGTCCTGCTCCGTGGGGGAGACACGGGGTGGGTCAGACGGACCGGTTGGGGACCCCGGGGTGCACCGGGCCCTCTGCACCGCTACGGGCCCGCGGGAACCGGCTGTGGGGCGGCTGGGCATGGACTCTGGTAAAAGCCGCTGTTCCAGCCCCGTCGGTGCCCGCGTCCCGTCCCGGGGGTCCCGTCCCGGGGGTCCCATCCACCCGCGAGGTCCGGCTCCTGGGGGTCCCCGTCCCACCCCCGCTGTGGTCTCGCGTCCGGTCCGGATCGCCCAGCCCCGAGGTCGTTCCGGGGGTCCCGCCCAGACCGAGGTCTCGTTCCGGGGTCCCGCCCAGCCCCGGAGCCCCGGAGGTCGGAGGTCGTTCCGGGGGTACCGTTCCGTCCCGGAGGTCCCGTCCCAGCCCCTCGCTCGTTCTCGGTCCCGCTCGGCGGCTCCGCGGCCGCTGAGGCGCCGTCACGTGACGGGCACTGGTGGCCAATGGCGGCGGCGCCCGCGCCGCTGAGGGCCACCCAAAAATGGCGGCGGCGATGGCGCAGTGCCGCCTCCTGAGGGCCCGTTAACCCGCTGCCCGCTCCGCTTCCGAGCCCTCCCCGCAGCCGCGGGGCCCCTCCCGTGTGCTGGGTGAGCCCCGCGGCTGCCGGAGGGTCTCCCCGCAGGCGGAGGGTTTCCCTTGGGGTGTCTCAGCAGCGCTTCAGGTGGGAAGCGAATGCCCACCCCGGGGGCAATACAGAGCCTTTGCGCCAGAGGCTCAGTGAACAAGGCGCGATCGAAAGAGCGCTTTCTAAGGAGAGGAAAGTATCCAGAGAACACCCGAGCAGAGCTCTGGAAACCTGTACGTGGGCTCGGTGCCCTTCCAGGAGTTGGGGACCCAACCTGGGCTGAGGCCGCCCAGGTCCCAAGTATTTGGAAAGAAGCAGCGGGATTGGTCTGAGCTCAGGCACGACCTTAAATTCTTAGCAATCACACATGGTTTGGGTTGGAAGGGACCTTAAAGCCCATCTCGGCCCCTGCCATGGGCAGGGACACCTTCCACTAGCCCAGGTTGCTCCAAGCCCTGTCCAACCTGGCCTTGGACACTTGCAGGGGCAGGGACTCCACAGCCTCTCAGGGGGATCACAGGGATGTGTCACCTCTCCCTGGCACTTTGTGTTTCATTAACCAGCTGACGTGCAATGCCTCTGGAAGAAATCTTATGCTGGGATAATAAAGAAGCAAACCAGCACATTTGAAATGCTCTCTCAGAACAGCTCCAGTCCCCTTGGAGAGCTGCAGGGAGGATTGCTCTTGCATTTATCCCTTCCATATCTAAACACTGGCACCCTTAGTGTGACTCCTGTTAGCCCAGAAGAAGGGGAAGGCACAGCAGTCTATGTTCTGTGCTTTACAGAACATATTTTGTAGTTATTTTGTATATTTTGTACTTAAAACCTCCGAGGGTCTCAGCCGTGTCAGAGACCACAGTGCTGTGTAACAACCACTCAGGAAACGCCATTAAACAGGGAGAGTGTATGCACAGAACTCTGCCTGTGTAAGAAAACTCTCTTCTCAGAATTATTTCACAGAAATCTGCAGCACAGCTTTGCAGAATAAACCTATTAAAGCCATTTTTTCCAGGCAGGAAATGTGGCAATACACAAACCAACATGGAATATCCTAAATCAGTCCCTCCAGTCATTTGATTATCACAGCAAATTTAGAAGCTCACATGGTACATCTTGGTAAGACAGAGGCTTTGTGCAATGCCAATAACATATCTGCTCCTTTCTTTAACAACTAATATTCTAGTTGAAAAGGTTTGGGGTTTTTTTGCAGCATTGGAAGTGTTAAAAAAAAAAGAGGTCTCAAACTATTTTTGATAACTGTTACTATAGAGCTGGAAATAAAAAATTATGACAATTTATCTTTCAGGGCAAATGAGCCTGCATTAGGAAGGTAAAAACCACAGAAATATTTACAAATTGAATTATTTGGCAACACATTAGCACTGGTAGATGGCAACACCAGCCTTAGATCAGGCAGGCCTGCGTTGCTCATGGATTAATGAAGCAGGAGAGTGAATAATTGCTTTCAGATAATTTGCAGTGTATGTCAGATGTATCCTTGTGGTCTTGAAGGCTGCAAAAGATTTCAAATCCTTTTCTCATCATCTAACAAAAGTTTTAGAATTACATTTTGTCAAGTTCAGCAATAAGGAGGAATCAAGGCAAGCCTCTGCAAAGTGGTCACCTCCAAACACTGACAGCACAGATGTGGTATGAAAATACAGCTTTTTTTCCTGCTAAACAGTGCTTTATGACATGATGTGATTTGAGTGATTATAACTTACATCCACTGAACTGTGAATGAAGGTAATTCAATGAAGGTAACATGTAATAAAAAAATTGATCACAAAATCTTTGACTGTAGATGTAAGTCTTACCCAAAAACAGAACAAAAAAATCCTGGGACGGGATATTTATTTTCCCATATTAAGACTGGTAAGTAGGACTGAAGCTTTTCCATGTGTGAGGTGCAGACTTGAGAAATACAAGTACACTGAGGGAGCAGCATTCACTGGAAGGCCAGTTAAGGCAAGCCTTGTCTTTTTCCCATAACAAAGTCACTGCTGGGAGCTCTTGAACTGAGAGGGAGTGGTCACCCATTTTCCCTTCCCCAGCAGCCCCCCAGGGAGGAGGAAAGCTGGGCAGGCCCCGAGGCTCCTGGGCCTCTTCCTTGGCAGCCCTTTGGCCAAGGCCCCGAGGCAGAGGTGGGGCTCAGCCCCTGGGCAGGAATCGGGCGCAGGCTGAGCCCCAGGGACACCAGACCCAGGTGGCCTGAGCTCTTCTTCCTGGTCTCCCTGGGACAGCCCAGCCAGGCCTGAGTCTCTCCAGGAGAGGCCAAGCCCAGCCAGAGAGGGCTCAGCCCCCTGAGGCCCCTCAGCCCCTTTCATCTGACTCCCCATCCTGTGTCTTCCAGGAGAAAGGGCCACACAGCCTCGGCCATACAAGGGACCTGCTGCCAGGGGCAGGGCTGCTCCAAGTTGATCCTTTTGCTGAAGGAGAACCAAGACCTGATGAGGATGTTCCTGGGCCTCTGCTCTCTGCAGAGGGCATTGCTGAGAGAGAAGGAAGCGGATGACTCGGAAGAGGAGGAGACTCCACTTCTCCACTTGACCGTGGATCCCCAGCTCCAGCAAGGCCCTTCCCTACAGAGCCCCACACCCACCAGCCCAGAGGAACCAGGCAGCTCGTCCTCGTCTCACTCCAGGCAGCAGATCCTCAGTTTCTCAGCCATTGCTGGGGATCTTCCCACCTCTCCCTGCTGCTGGGTGGCCCTGGCAACTCCTTTTCTTCCACTTTTCCTCTAGTTCTCTGCTCCAGATTTCAGCCAGGCCCAGCGCAGACTGTGAACCCCCCTGCCCTCAACCAGACCCAACACTGCTGTTTAGACCTTTCCCTTAAATCTCTTCTAAGTTGTTACTTAGAGTTTAGAATAAGGACTTTACAGATTGTTTATTGCATGGAATAGAAATCAAAATTGAAGATAATACTTTATCAAAAATAAAAATTTTACATTCCAAGTCTATAAATACCTTTAGAAATCTGGCTTCTTTTTGTGAAGTGTTGTGTCCATTTTGTTCAGTGACTCTTTGCACACTCCGAAGTGCCAGAACAGAAAGAAATCAGAAGATGTGAAACCTGATACACAGAATAAGACAATTTAGGGTCCAAGACCTCCCCAAGAGTCCCAGACAGTTTCCAAGTGGGATCAGTCCAGTTTGTAAATGAGACTGATCAGAACAGCAGTTTTATTTCAGGGTGTAAGAAGTGCTGAAGAGATCCAGTGGGCACTGTAATCTTGCATTCAAGACATCTGTGCCAGAGACACACTCAGGCCACACCAATAAGGTCAAAGGGCATTCAGGAGATGCAGCAGAAGGGATTTTAACACAGATCCAGCCTGGAAATGGACACACCCCACTGAATTTTCCAATCTAAAGGGCTTTCTCATGACACTGGGTGTCAGGGGTGCTTCTGGGAGCCGTCCCAAAGAGACCAAAGAAGGACACCTCCACTGCTCTGCAACTGTTCTAGAAACACAGATTTAGAAAGTTTACTAAAGATTGGAAAGTGAACCAAGGACAGAAAAAAGGCCTTGTATGTATTTCTACATACATGTCCTACTTCACAATCAGCAGGACAAAGTGTGCTGAAGAGAGGAAGGTGGAAGTCCCCAGTCCAAACAAGCACCCCTTTCCATAGTGGATTGAATACTGGAAGGTGAAGGGGGACGCATTTCCCAGCCCAAAGCCAGGGAAAAGGTCATGAAAAGTGTCACTGAGGGAAGCACCACCATGAAGAAAAGTTGGGGACCTAAACCTATTGGAAAAATGGAAAGAAAAGGCACAAAAGTAAAACTGGGGGGGAAAGAGGGTCTAGGGTAGCTGTGTGCTGAAGGCAGGCCAGCGATGGAGGGGTTTGTGCCATCGGAGCAGAGGCTCCCACGGCTCCGGAACGGGAGCGCGGCTCAGCCCTGTTCTCTGGGATGTGCTCTGGGAGCAGGGCACGAGGAGGAGCTGTGCTCCCACCCAGCACCCACCATGGGAGCTCCATCTGGGAAGGGGGTTTCCAGCTCAGCAGCGAGGCCTCCACGCCCAGGACTGTCAGGGTGGAGGAGTGGCCTTCACTCGGCGCCGCCTTCTCTGTTTTTTGCTCTCTTTTCTTTTCTGTCCCTGCTCTTTCCGGGCTCCGGCCATGGTACATGTGATACACTGAGAATCCAGGAAGTCCAGCAGCTTTGCCTTGGAAATTTTGATGCCGTTCTGTTTGAGCTCTGCGTGCAGATCCACCAGCTCGAGTGGCTCATAGAAGAGAATCCTGTTGTACAGGGCTGTGTTTGAGCGGATGTAGCACCTCACTGCCTCCAGCTTTTCTTCTTCCCGAGCTGCTGCTTGAGATGCTGGAAACTCCTCTTCCTCCTCCTCAGATGCAAAAGCACAGGTTTCAAATCCATTCACAAAAGAACTAAAAGCAAGATCAAACAGACCAGAGGTCAAGGAAAGAACAGGCTATCAAGGACGGGACCAGAGTTCCCCAAAATCCCTGATGGGGAACCCCTGGGACTTCCTCTGCAGGGTCGCAGACTCTCCCCTATTGGCACCCACAAAATGAGTGAGGCAGAACATGGCAGGGGGTCTGCAAACTTCCCCATCCCAGCTGTGACAGCACTGATCTGGAGCTGTCTGGCATTCCAGGCTCCTGACCCATACTGCGTCAGGCTCTGCCCAGGGTGCTGTGCCAAGCTCTCCCAGCTCCAGCTGCAGGTTCTCATGAAACATGGAGTGCTCCTTGTCACTAACTCGAAGACCAGAAGTGCCAGTTCTGGGCCTTGCCCACACACAGCCACACTCCCTTTTATGTTCTGAGAATAGCTCAGTGGGAATGAGACTGAAAATCCAAAGCCTGTTCCTTTTGGAGTAGCATGCTGAGCTCCA